TCTGCCTTGGGTTCCAATATGGCTGTTCCAGGAACTACCTTCCTACGCGTCACACTCTTCCCCTGTCCTTAGTGCCATTTTGTTCTTCTTTCTCCAGACCCTATTGACATTATATATATTATTGATTTCAGAGAGGAAGGGAGAGGGAAAGAGAGATAGAAACATCAATGATGAGAGAGAATCACTGTATGCCCCCTACTGGGGGTCAAGCCCACAACTGAGGCATGTGCCCTTGACCAGAATCGAACCCAGGACCTTTCAGTCCGCAGACTGATGCTCTATCCACTGAGCCAAACCGGCTAGGGCCCCCATAAGCATTTTATCCACCTTCTTGCACTCCCACTGCTTTCTCCTTAATTCTGTCTCTTTTTTCTTTACTCTTTTTTATTTTTCAAACCTTTACCTTTGGAGCTGATCTTCCTTTTCTTTTTGCAGCTTTCTTCCATCAGTGCCTCCCTCTCTCCCTTAACAAAGCATAACCGAAAACAAGTTTGGTACATCTTATTATATGTGTTAAAATGTTAATGCTTAATTGTCCATCAATATTCTTCCAAAAAATACAGGAATTTTTATTATTGTTCTTATGATCTATAACCTCCCTGAATCATTTCCAGAATTAGTTCTGGGCAAGTTACTTAACATTCCTTTGCCTTAGTGTCCATCAGTGTTATGTCTACCTCTCAAAATAATTGCGAAAATTAAATGAGAACATGTAGTTCAAGCATATAAAACAGTGACAGCTAATATATATACATATATATTATTATTACTGTCATTATTACTGTAATTATTATCACATTCACAATCCTGAGTTGTTAGAACATCTGTGTTTCTCTGTAAGATTAAACCCATTTAAAATAATTTAGATTTTTGGAGGCTCTAATTTACTAGTTCCTCATGGAATCAACTTTACATATCTTCATAAATGTTCTATTAACCTTCCAAAGCAGTATCATGTGATGCAAATGTTTCTGGGACTGTGTAGTGGGATGTGCTGAAATTAATATAGACAGCCAAGACTAAATCTGAAATGTAGTGGCTTCCTTTTACATTATTCACAAAGGGAAACTCTTGCAATTAACTTGACTCTCATCAACTTCTTTTTTCACATAAAATTTCCTTTGTTTAAAATGATGCAAATAAAACCTTTTAAAGAAGAAAAACAAATTCCTTAATAGAACTGTTCTGTGCTAAGGCAATATACTGAAATTAGTTGTGGTGAATAAAGTCCCAAATCAAAGACCCAGGTGTTTCCTCTAATGTTCATGACATATTATCTGACAGAGATGTAAAAGTTTAAAATTAGAATTATTACAGAAATTGAAAGTACAAGGTAGCCAGGGAAATGGGGTGCCAGCACTAAAAGTTAGGCACACTAATGCAGATAAACCTTTGGGAGACTCCAAAACAACAACCACGCACATGTACAAAGACCTCTGAAAGGTGTTTTTGTGTGTGTGTGTGTTTTTCCCAATTTTTCTTTAAAAAGTATTAACTAAGGAAACTTTTAAAATGTATACATTAATGCTTTTTCTTGGTCTCATTTAAGTGCAAAGGTTAAATTTTACTTAGAAAGCTAATTTTAAAAAGCTAATGAGATAGAGATAAACACAAAGATTTCTGGGTGAGGATGCTCATTGAAGCATTTTTATAGGAGAAGTATTGGAAACAACCTAATGAAGAAGGGTTAAGTAAGTAATGATATGTCTTTAAGAGGCAATAAAAGGCAACAATAAAAAATTATGTTCTGAAGCAGTTGCACGCTATGAGAAAATGATCACAACATAGTAAGCGATAATGGAAGAGTATTTATGTGTACACTAGAGGCCCAGTGCATGAATTCGCGCACGGATAGGGTTCCTCAGCCTAATCGGAGATCGGGGGCAATTGGGGCCGACCAGAGATGTCTTGCCCAGTCTCAATCAGGGCCCATTGGGGCTGGTTGGCTGGGGGGAGTGACCGAAGGAGGTTGGCCAGCTGCAGGAGGTTGGCTGGCCATGGGAGGTTGGCTGTGGGAGTGCACTGACCACCTGGGTACAGCTCCTGCATTGAGTGTCTGCCCCCTGGTGGTCAGTGCATGTCATAGCTACCGTCTGGTCATCTGGTCATAATGGTCACTTAGGCTTTTATATATATAGATATACATGTATGGGTACATATATGCATATACACAAACACACATACACACAAAACTTATTCTCAGTTAATTAAAGCTATCTAAAATAGGGCAGAATAAAATAATCAGATATACTAGTACTCACAATTTTATATCTGTATAGAATTAATTTCTTAATAAATTATTTTTGTAATGTTTTTATTAGGAAACAATTATAAATGGATGAGTATTGTTTACATTATAATTGCCCATTTTATTATAAATTTATACTTTTTACAACATTTTTTATTTGTCAAAGTTATAAGATCATGAACTTCTCTCTAATATTTTAAAAATAAATTGGGCCAGATCTCATCTAGTACAAATAATCATATGTAAGAATCTTACCAGTTGAGTTTTCCTGAACTTTTAAAGTTTGTCTTATCTGCTGGTATGCTTTTCCTTTTGCTCCCAGTTGTACCATTCCAAGAATCAAAGTTGTTCCAAGTGGGGAAAATACAATGTTGTCCTTCTGAGATGAACAAATAGCTTGATAAAGATCCACCGCAAATTCAGTATTTCTCTGAGCCAAGGGTTTTGAGGCTTGACTTCCAGAAAAAGTCAATAGGAGACTCCACACGATCTTAAACATTTTGACCTCTGTGCATCAATTCAAAACTTATTAGCTTTCAAAGTAATCAGAGTTTATCATTTCACACTCAAAGAAACTTCCTACCTATTAGAATTTTCTGTGTTATTAGGACAAATTACCCCAAGTGTATTTTACTAAGTATCATCTATTAAGAAGAATAGGCCATGTGCTAATGGTATTTTTTAATATTCCTTCAAGAACCAGTTCAACATAGATAGCAGTTTCTTAAAATCGAAAGAGGAATTATGATTCTGGGGCAGTATCAATATAGTAGTACTATTTCTAAATGGATATATGATACACTTTTTTCTATCTTTTCCCATGGTTTTACATAGAATAACTGTAACTCTGATATCAAGGGAACCCTCCGTCCAGACTACTCTATAGATCAAAAACAGAAATGGAATAAAAAAATGAATACACTCCCGTGTGGTTTTAGACCTATAATATTAAAAAGTTAATGTATTCTAAATCAATTAAATAATCTGGCTAACTTTTTACAACAGTAAAAGTGATGGAATTTGTAGAGCAAAATACCCCAAAACCCACATGTAATATTCCAAAGGGAGAAAAGAAAACTCTGAAAACTATAAACAAAATTACGACCAAATATAAATGGTACATCAATAGAAAAAGAGAGCAATATTTTTTTTTAAAAAAATCAAAGAACAATTTGACAAATAACAAATGTAAGAAAGCTGCAATTGAAAACTATAACTGAGTCACAACAACACTAATGACACCTTATTAAAGTGCTCTCCACTAAAATTGCAGAAAATTCAACCCTGATTACATCTAGAGCAGAGTGAGTTCTTGCAATTTTACCAGAGACTTGGAGGAAAACTGATTCTGAAGGTCTCATACATTTTACTAACACTATTTTTCCCCCACAAATAATACATTTGAGTAGCCCGTAATAATTCCTAGTCGAATAGATTACTAGGAAGTAATTTTTATTGGGGGTAAAGATAAAAGCCTTTGGAATACTGTGTTGTTAAACTTAAATAATTGAATAACTATATTTCTAGAGTGTTTTATGGACCATTAGGGAGGTCACCGTGACCCACAAGTGAGTTAAAAGTCATTAAGATCACTGTTATATATAAAGATTATTAATAGTCAAATATTCTCCAAAACCAAGCTGCAGAGTCATTATCCAGATATTTAAAATTATTTTCTAATTTATATAGGTAAACTCTACATGCTTAGGTATACAATTCACAAAGAAAAACGAGCTCTAAGTTCAATCCAAAGAATTGTTAGAAAATAATGTTTTGTTAAACTAAAAATATACATACATATATCCCATCAAGCAAATGCTTTATCGAGGAGTAGATTGGTACCTAAGGTTGTTAGTAGTAGTGCAACAATAGTACAAGCTAACACAAAATAGATTTCTGCATATTTTCTAATATATTCACTATCTCAGAAGATTTCTGTCCAAAATATTAGTTTGTAGATATGTAGTCACAATGTTATCAGTACTTTTAAGTCACCAAGTGGTAATCCATTAGGCACATCTTTATGTTTTTGGTTTGTATTAGAATGATAAACACTATTATGAAGGATGTATTTTTACCTTTATAGTTAAATCAGAAAGTTATCCTCTCATTGTTATTAATAATCTTAATAACTAAAATATACATTCTTTGAGCATCCATTTCTCATAGAAAATTTCTAGGTACTTAGTAAATTATAAGCTCACACAAAATGCTGGTTTTAAAAATTGACTTACCTCAGTGGCTTTTGTATCATATCTCATTAGAAATCACAAAGTACTAACGAACTAAACAAACTGACAAACAGTCCTATAAGAATGCAATATTCAAATTTATAGTGACATATTTTAAGGAGAATAAAAGTAATGCATTAATTTGACAAACTTAAATAATATCTACTAAAGTGAATTAAAACATTAGTCTTACTCTATTAAATACTCACAATTAATATTATTGCATATATACTTCATTCAAGAGCTATTAATTTTAAGGTACTTACTCAAAATTTGCTTCTGATCATTCATGGTTATGTTACGTCTGCTGAGAAACACTAGTACATGGGACACCCGACCGGTCAAGGCCAACTCTATTTATCTTGAATGTTCCTAGATTAATTCCTCTAAAACCAAAGCAGGTGTTCACCACATTTGAATGAAAGGTCTGATATGATCAGGTTAATGATCAATGATGAAATACGCAAGAACTAAGAGAGAAAGCAATACTAGAATTTTAAAAGATCATGAAGTTTATATGATTATTTCACTTCTTTTATAATAAGTAGAAGCAGAATTTGGAAGAAAGTACCAGTGCCTGTAAATTTGCTAGTAATTAGCTCTTTTTGCTTCTCATAGGAATCCAACATCAGAATACCAATGTATTCAATCATAAATATTTCCGAATACCTATGACAAAAAGAATAAAGCTGAATCAAGTCTAGAATCCAGAGAGACAAATTACTGCTGCATTTAGAGCTCTCAACAATTCATCAAATTATACAATAGAGGAATTTCCTGTGGATAGAAGGCCCATTTGAATCCTTAGGGAAAAATTTGGATGTTAAAGACATATAATCTTTATGTTGAACAAAAAGACCAGATTAAGATTATAGATTTACCAAATTACATCAAGATATTACTATTAAACATAAGTAATTTGATAGTTAACATTGGTGTTATATTTACCAGTATGTGCTCTTAACATTTTACATGATTGTTTCTACAAACAGTTCATTAATAAAAAGTGGGTGCGTAATCGAATAGGTTTTGATCTCATTGTTCTAGTTCAAATCAATAACGTCAATGGCGATCAGATATTAAATAAGTGGCCTCTGAGAAGAGGAGTGGAAAATTTGTTTCAGTTACCATTAAACAAATATTTACTATTGATTACTAAATGTAATATTATTTCTGATAAAGCTATGAAAAATAAGTAAAATGAATGTAGATGCCTTTAAAGGAGTTTTTGTATAAAAAGCTTTTTCAAGGATCCCATTAGCATCTTTCAGTGTCCTAGGGCTATAGCTTAATATCAGGCTTGAGAAGCCTGATGACCGATGTCAGTCATAGTATTTAATTTACTAAAATGTTTAGTTGCCCATCTAAGCATCTCTGAATGTTTTCTAAATGTTGGGTTGCTCCCTAATATCACTTACTCTGATGTAAGCAAGCTCATTTGCAGCTTTTAATATAACACTGTTAGAGGTTATTTTCCAAAATCACAGTTATGCAACATAAGAACACAATCATTCTTCTGTTCTACTCTGCAATTCATAAATAATAAATCCGAATGTCTAAGACTATCATTCAATCAGTGCTTTTCTACCCATGCAATGACACCAGCAAACATCCATCACAAGTACACTTGGTTACCAAATTATTGTGTCTACAGTGTTCAGGTCATAATGTGACTTGCCCAGGAACAGGCCATTATTTTTCCTTCCAATGACAGAGACAGACACTCAGTCTTAGTAAGATCATTTAATGAAGTTGTTGTGTAAGGACCTTATGTTAGAGCAGTTCAAGCAGACTGTCCATTTTCCTTTCTTTTAGGGAGTAAAAAGCAGCGGCCATGAATTTCTCCTCCCTGGTTTAAGCTTTTTTAATAAGACAATAAAGATACCACAATTGTCCTTAAAATATTACTACAAACCTTTAAATATTTTTCTAAATCTGTTTCTTCTGTAACTCAATTTTGCATCTAGAGCATTGGGGAAAAAAATAATAGGAAGAGGTTATAGGTTCAATCTCATTATCCTTCTAATTAGCATTTATTAGCATTTTGTAGTTTTTTTTAGTAAACATGTATTTAATTCCAAACTTTAAAAAAACACACAATCAAGTGTTTTGATTAATAAATAAAGGACTTAAAAGTTAATTTTTTCATTGATTAATTTCAGGTATTTTTTTCCCTCTGCCAGGTTGCTCTATGTATATTTTGTGTGATAAGAGGGAAATGTTCTGAAAAGATAACAGGTTAAATTATATTTAGTGTAAATCTTTACATAACAAACAAAATAGCCTACTGAAAAGTATGGGACATCATTTTTTAAAGAACTCTTCTTATTGATTTTAGAAAGAGGAAGGCAATCAAGAGAGAGAGAGAGAGAGAGAGAGAGAGAGAGAGAGAGAGAGAGAGAGAAACATTGAAGTGAGAGAGAAACATTGAAAGGTTGCCTCCCCACCATATGCGTCCTGACTAGGGAATCCTGTGCCCGACAGAGAATCTAACCTGCAGCCCTTCAATGCACAGGAGGATGCTCCACCCAATTGAGCCACCCAAGCCAGGGTTGACACATCCTATTTTAATGTGACAAGTTCTTTTCACTGTAGAAAAATGAGTCTTAAATAATTAAACCTAAATGTTAATTTCAGAAATAGCATATAAAGTCTTCAGTTCTATTAACATTTGATAAGTGAGACCCTGCTACCAGCTTAACACAGTTAGGTGCTGTAAGCTGTAAAAGAGTAAGACATAATTAAATGTTGTTGTTGCTTTTTCCTTTTGTGTATGTTTTGTTCTTAAGTATTAGAAACAGTAACATTAAAAGATACTTTCATACTTTTCAAAACCCTTTTCTCATTAAATATACTTGGGATACAGCTCCTCTTCATTCTTTTCATACAAGAAGCACCAAATTAGGGTTTAGAGATACACACAGCTTGGTGCTTTGCACATGCAATCGGCTATAGAGAGGTCTATCTATACCAACCAGACAATTTCAGACTAATAATTTCAAACAAAGTATTCTCTGAGGGTAGAGAAAGTGAAATATGTCTAGTAAAATAATTTCTAAATTATTCTAGAAAAACTAGGGGGCTCATTCAACCATTGTTTAATAGACCATGACATTTTATGTGCTTTCACTTCAGAAAGATGATGGCAGGAGAAGATGGTTCTATTTATTTGTGTATACCTGGCATCTAAAACAGTCCCTTGCATATGCCTTCAATAATTGGATGGATGGATGGATGGATGGATGGATGGATGGATGGATGGAAGGGGAAATGAGTCTTTGCAAACTATTTGGTACCCATATTACATGTCCTTAACATCTCAATATTCCTTTAAATTTCTGGAAATGTGACTCAACTTTCACTCCACTATCTTGTCAGCAATATATGACTCATAAATCATATGCTCAAAGTTTGAAATGATGAATTGTCTGATCAAATCTCCCAACCAGTGGAAGAATTCTCTGCAATATGCCTGTGTGTGTTATTCAGCCTCTTTCTGGACATCTCAAAGAATCCTCTGTCCCAAGCCAACATTTTCATTTTCAAAAAATAATTTACATTGAAATTCTTTTAAGTTAACAGAAAAGTGCTGATATAATACAAAGAACTACTATCTCCCACTCTCTCTCTCAGTTTCCCCAGTTGACATTTCACCACATGTGTACTCTATCTATATAACTAATTTTTATCTACCCACCCACCTATCTTTATAATATGTTTGTATGTGGATACATGTATGCGGTGTGTTGAGTGTATGTGTATAAATATATACATATATACATTATAATTTATATTTTTAATCATTTGAGAGCAAGCTACAAACATAACTTTCTATTACTCCTAAATATTCCATTTTATTGTTTATCGACCTGTCTAAAACCATGAATTCACACTGATATCTGAAATCTCTAATCCTGATTCAAAATCTCAAAGTTCTTTCTAGTTTTCCTCCTTTTAAGTTTGCAATTACTTTCTACAACAGTTTGATATCTAGCACTCATTATCCTCAATTTATTTACTAATTGTATTCATTTATTTATTCAGTTCTCATTTGCTCAATCTAATTACTCTTCCAACCATGCTGGTCATCTCCTCCACTCACCCCCTCTGCCCTCACACCCTTCACCCCCCCCCTCCCTTTGACCCCTTCCATACCCTTGGCTCCAGTAAGCATATTATCCGGTGGGTCTTTTCTAGGCTTCTTCCTTTCATAGCCATACAGGTGTGCCTGCTGCCAACTACTCTGCACCAAGATGGGAAGTGTCAATGGGAAGAGAACGAGAAACTTTTTCAGGTTTTAACAGGTATTAGGAAGCAATTCTAGAATCTGCTTTCTTAGAATTATGCTCATTAGTTCTACTTCTTTTGTTCACTACAGCTTTGAAATCTTTGAGGATAGCTTGTATCTCCCATGAATTCTCTTTCTTAAACTAGACCTCCCATTTCTTGTTCCTCTTAATATGCTTTCTATGGTCTTAAGCACTCTGAAGACATTCGTCACAATTCTTTCACATGTATCCTGCTCCTATATTTTCCTCATATGTGACTGTTGCTTAATGAGAAGGAAATCAACTTACACAAAAGTCACAATGCCTGACTCAGGATGCAATTAATTATAGATGGAATAGGCAACTGTCTTCTAAAAACCTTTCCTCTGCCATCCTCTCCACCAAATTAAAACTTGCTCCACTGATGTTGGATATTCTGTTAGAGTTAATTTCACTGACTTTATTGTAATGAGAGGTGAGTAAACAGAATGGTGAAGGTCAAAAACTATGGTCTCTAGAGTAAAACGGATTTGGGCTCCAATCCCAACTCACCATCAATAATTGGGCACTCTTTTAATGAATACAACTCTCAGATATTAACCTTAAAATAGATATATTTCATATAATTATTGTGGGGTTTAAACATAATGAATTTTTTCAGTTACTGGACAGAGTAGGCCCCTACATGTTGTTAGTTATTTCCTTTATTTTTGTGTGTTATTGCAAAAGTCTTCTTAAAATTCAAATATTTTGGAAGGACACTTTAAAATACAAATACCATAGTAATGTTCTATGAAAGTATTTATTAATTATTCTTACAGGACAGAATAAATAAAGCAGCATAAGAATATTGGTTGTCACAACCAAGATTACTTTATCCAGCAAAGCTATCATTCAGAATTGAAGGTCAGATAAAGAGCTTCACAGATAAGGAAAAGCTAAAGGAGTTCATCACCACTAAACCAGTATTATACGAAATGCTGACAGGTATCCTTTAAGAAGAAGAAGAAGAAAAAGGTAAAGATACAAATTGTGAACAACAAACATGCATCTATCAACAAGTGAATCTAAGAATCAAGTGAATAAATAATCTGATCTACAGAATGAACTGGTGATTACAATGAATCAGGGACATAGAAAGGGAATGGACTGACTATTCTTGGGGGGGGGGGGAAGGGGAATGGGAGATGCGGGAAGAGACTGGACAAAAATCGTGCACCTATGGATGAGGACAGTGGGTGGGGAGTAAGGGCGAGGGTGGGGCGGGAACTGGGAGGAGGGAGTTATGGAGGGGGAAAAAAAAGAGGAACAAATGTAATCTGAACAATAAATATTTAATAAAAAATAAAAAAAATAAAAAGAATATTGGTTGTCTGCCCTGGCCATGTGGTTCAGTTGGTTGAAGCATCGTCCCATGCACCGAAGGGTCATGGGTTCCATTCCGGGTCAGGGCATTTACTGGGTCAGGGTACATAAAGGAGGCAACCAATCAATGTTTCTCTCTCACATCTCTCTCTCTCTCTCTCTATCTCTCTCTTTCCCTCTCCTTTTTTCTTTCTTTCTCTATCTCTGAAATCAATAGAAACATATCCTTGGGCAAGGATTTAAAAAAAAAAAGAATTTTGGTTGCCTGATGGAAGATGCTATTTATAAAGAAAAATAGATAAAAAAGGTAAGGCATTGTGTTTCAGAACCAAATATTGTCTCCTTGACCTTCCATACAGAGTGAGTTCTTTATATAACCTCAGAACCCTTCTTTTCTTGAGGCTATACCACTTTGTCTGTACTATGCTACTCAGTTTTAGAGTAGTAGTAGAACTTATGCAGTAATTTCTCAATAACTTCATATAAGGATGAATATAAATCAATAATAATTAATAGAACAGCTGCTACTGACAAGGTCTTATTTCATAATCAGTATCATTTAAAACACACACACACATAAAACTAGAAAGTGTAAATAAGTGGGCATAGTTTTCTTAGTTAACTTTATAGATATTCACTGTGTCAATATTTTTCATCTTTAATTTCAATGCAGGTTTTCTTAAAGAAAAATGACCAAAACATGTGTCTATAGAAGCAACCAAAGGTCAGAATGCTTTGTTCTGAAATTGTACATTTTTTATATAAAAACACTTGAGAATAGGTAATACCAATTAATACCATCCCCTCTTAGTCCAATCTTTCTTTTATTGAAAATAGAAAGTGAAAAGTAATGGGTAAGAATATTGTCTGAAAACAAAACTTTCTGAAGTTGAAATATAAAGTAAAAAAGAAGATGGCATTTTTAAAATTTATTTTCTGCATTTCATACACATATTTCATGTGTCAATGAAATATTTATTTTTCTTTCAGTTATAATTGCTTCTTATTTCTTTTTATATTCACTTCACTACTTGTTTCTTGACATAATTGCTTGGCTCTTCTTTCACGATCCAGAATGTCTTTGGGAAACAGGTTTTTCTCAACAAATACAGCTTTCAAAGCTAAAAAAAATGGTGAAGAAATGACATGTAAATTATATTTGTAAAGGAGCCCAATTAAATGAAATAGTGGGGAGTAAATATTCAAGTTTCACTTTACTTAAAAAGTTGTATGTTTCTAACGCCTAGAATTTTATGGGGAAATTTTCTGTTAAGCTTCTGCTATTCCTTTTTTAATTTAAAAGTTAAATTTTAACAGAATTGGTTATAATATATTTATATCATGATAGAGATCCACCATATAACAGTAGAAGATTAAAGAAGATTGTTCTCCATTTTTGTTTTTTTAATATACTTAACAGCTATCAAGGACTCATAAAAAGCCAGGGACAAAGTATTCTGTATTAAAGTAAGACAATTAAAATAATCAAAACACAGTTTGACTGCCTGGATGACTAAACAAGTACATCTGCAATCATATTCTTATAAGATGCTTTTTTTCTGTGGCTTCAGGAAAAAAAAAGAGCCAAATTATCCCCATGAGTAGTAATATTGTGCATCAGCGAGAAGTAGGAGGAAATTGTGCCATGCATTCAAAATACTAATTTTGGCCTTTTCTTAACTTTATCATTTCAGCAAATGTTTATTGAATGTATATTATGCACAATGTTCTGTGCTCAGGCGTAAATGGGGCACAAACATAACTAAGTCATAGGTTTTCTTCCAACTGGTAGAAAGTAGGAACAGTACTCAAATAACCAAATTAACATATACAGTAGAAGACAATTCTAAGAGGAGCCAAGCTATGGAAAGTGTGGTTAAGCATATAAAGAGATTATAAAAATATGCAGAAACCAGAGGCAAAGCTTTAAGAATTAGATGCTAATTCAGGGGAACTTGAAGTCCAGATAGGATATTAAGTGATAATAAGAACCATGGAGATGAGGAAGGGTTACCAAGGTGGAAAGGAAATGTCAACTGGAGGGAACACATTGAATCAAAATATGGAGAAACAAGAACGACTATTCAGGTAACTCTAAATAATTCAATACGATTTAGCAAAAGCATAAAAAATATGAAGGAGATGAAAGTAGAATGAGGCTGGAGCTAGACTGAGGAATATTTTAAATACCAAGCCAAGGAATTTGAAAGAAACTATGTAAACACTGAGCAACTTCACAGTATAGTAGCATTTTTATGTATCTAAATTGAAAAAAGACCAAAACTCAGTACTTCCCATACAAACATAACAATGTACGTCAATGCATTTCCCCTTTTTCTCTTTAATATTATGCAAGAACAACCAGGAAAATGAGGGGAAATAACTCTGCAAATACATTCCACATTCTGCAAAACCCAAAGATAGATGTAACCTGCAGCCTACACAATATGAAGAAGGGCAGCCAGATAGATTGGGCAGTGTTAGACACGATAAGAGTGATGAGAATGGAGCATGTAAGCACATTAGCATCTCAAAAAGTACTAGCAAAAACGTAGTAAAGGTGAGGGGCTTACCCTGCAGTACAAATGCTTTATCTTTCATTTATAGTATGGTTCTCACCTTCCTAATGCCGCGACCCTTTAATACAGTTCCTCATGTTGTGGTGACCCCCAACCATAAAATTATTTTTGTTGCTAGTTCATAACTGTAATTTTGCTACTGTTATGAATCGTAATGTAAATATCTGATATGCAGGATGTATTTTCAGGGGTCATGGCCCACAGGTTGAGAACCGCTGAGATGTGCACGGAGGTGAATAAGGCTGGATACAAAAGCCCACAGGGGCAGACTGTTTTTAGCAAAAAATGGTCATAGGTGTGATTCTTATGTGTGAGCCATTTTTTGCTAAAAGCAGTCTGCCCCTGTGGGTTGTAAGACCTGAAGGCCATACTGATCACAGATCACAAGAACGTATCACCCAGGAACCCCTACAAATTTCAAGTTTAAGAAAAGCCAACTCATTAAGCTAATTCATTAAAAGAGAAAATGAAAAAATAAATAATCAGCATACCATAGACACAAAGGTATTATAAGCAAAATTAAAAACCAAACATTTTGAAAAGAGCAGCAAAGCTCATCAAATACATGGGCTGATACATTGGATAGATAAATATTGTTACTAAGCAGATGTCACAAGTTAAGTTTTAAAACTTGAAAAAGCACTTGCTTCTATAAAGGAAGGTCTCGGAGCAGAAATGAAAGAAACAAAGATTCAACAGGAAGTGGTGAAATGTGAGCTGTCAGGACTCAAGAAAATATAGGGAAAATTTGGCATAAGTGAGAATAGGCATAGTGGGGAACGTGAAAAATACAAATGAGAAAAACAAATACAAGATGAAAATTGAAGAGAAGAAATTAGAGAAGAAAATAGCAGATATTAAAAAACATGGATCCAACAAACATGTAAGTTGGGTGAGTCCTTAAGAAAAAAAACCAAAGCTGAACAAATATTTAAAGTTATCATGTAATAAGACTTTCCTCATATAAGCATCTACTTGATGTACATAGAAGGGACATACAGTCATCCTTTTACTCATCAGAGACTGGATCCAGGAGCCAGTGCTCAAGTCCTTTATGTAAAATGGCATTGTGTTTGAACATAACCTACATACATCCTCCTGTATACTTAAATCACCTCTAGATTGCTTATAATACCACTACAATGAAATGTTATATAACTAGTTGATATGCTAAATTGTTCAGGGAATGATGACAGGAAAAAAGTCTGCTCATGTTCAATATAGACTCAAGCATCATAGGCCTGACTACATAGTACATAGTACATGTTGGCAACAACCTTCTCTTTCTATTATTTTCAATATGAAGTTGGTTGAATCTGCAGATGCAAAAGCCATAGATACAAAGGGCTGACTGTACTGTGTACCAGGAATAATAGACTCTGATTAGTCAAAACCAAGGCATAGCCTACTAAAGTTATTAGACTTTAAAGATAAAGACAAAATCATTTGGCAGCCAGACAAAATGATCAAGTCACTTAAAAGGAGAGAAATATATATTGCATTAGATATCTTCATGGCAATGATCAATACCAGAAGACAGTAGAGCAATACCAACAAAAAAAAATCAACGAAAGAATATGTGAGATATGGATATTATAAACATGCATCCAAGCCATGCTTTAAATCTGAAAATGACAAATAGTTTCAACATGCAGACAATTCAGAGACTATTGCTCCTAAGAGTATTTTATAGGAAATTACAGCAAAACAAACTGAGAAATGACTGAGAAAAATTTGGAAGAAGATTTGGTGCTGAGCACAGAATATATTTAAATGTAGAAGTGAGACTCAAATAATGTGGGGTTTAGGATGACAAAATAGAAAGTATATACCACATTTTGTTTAATTAACAAAAACTGGTAGGGTAAGGGAGAAGCTCTATTCATGATAAACAAAATAACAACATAAGCAAATTTAAAATAAAAGTCAGCACAAAGAAAGATAATGTTCTTGAATAAATTGTGTAAAGGAAGAGGGATTGGGTAATGGAGAAACATTCATTTTATTGTCACTAAGCATGGATCTAATTGTTACTGTCTTAGAAAAATAAAGAGCTAGAAGAATTATATGAGCCTATGATTATAAAGGTACCACTAGAAGAAATATATAACAACCCTCCAAATAAAAACAAAGAAATAAATTACAGATCCAGTGAAAACCTTAAAGTATATATAAACAATCGTATATAATAAAACCATAATATGCAAATCGACTTAACAGTGGAACTACCAGAGGAACAACTGGTTGCTATAACGTGCACTGACCACCAGGGGGCAGACGCTCATGGCAGGACCTGCCCCCGGGCAGCTCCTGCATTGAGCATCTGCCCCCCTTCCCCCCCCGCCCCCCCCCCCCGAGAGGGAGGCGACCAGCAGTGGTGACAGGGGGGCAAGGCCGGCAAGCGGGCAGTGCCAGGCCGTCAGCCAAGGCAGGTGCTAGCGGGGGGGCCCCCCCAATCGTCCCGACCACTGGTTGCCCCAAAGATGGCCCTGATCGCTGGCCAGGCCTAGGGACCCTACCCTATATATTGGGAAAAATCTCTTAGATTTAAAAATTAAAACCTGGCAAGGATACTCTAACACTGAAAAAACAGGATGATGCAGAGATGACATGCATGGACTCTGGCTTGCACATTTTGTGGTCAGCCCTGATTCTGACACTTATAACTGTGTGATAAAGCCAATTACTTAACTTCTCTCTGCTTCATGTTTTCCACCCATAAGATGGGGAAAATAGTACTACTGTCTCAGAAGGATCATGTTATATAGTACTTTTTATAATCAGGGGAAAAATGTAGCTGCCCATACAACAGCAAGATGCCTTTCACCTGTATGAAAAATATGGTCATTGGCACATGCAGCATCCCAGATTGCAAGAGGGATGTCCGACTGCCGGTTTAGGCCCAACATCTCCCCACGGGTCCTTGATTGCAAGAGGATGCAGGCTGGGCTGAGAGACCCCCCACCCATGCACAAATTTTGTGCACTGAGCCTCTAGAAAATAGCACAAAAGAATGTGAGAAATAAAAACCAAAATGTCTAACATATCAATTAAGGTAAATGTGATCAATTTCATGATTTTAAAAAAATCTTTAGTTGGATCAAAAACAAAAACCAACATATTTAAAATAAAATGATTCAGAAAAGTTTAAATAAAGGGGTTGAGAAAATATCTAGGTGAATCAAAAGAAAGCAAGGCTCAAAATCCAGAATCATAAGAGCATACAGAAACCTTCCAAGGGGAAGGCAGTGGAGGGTGGGTGGGAAGAGATCAACCAATGAACTTGTATGTATATACACTTAAGGACACAGACAATGGGGTGGTGAGAGGTGGGAGGGAGAAGGGAACAGGTGCAAGAAGAGGTTAATGGGGGGAAAAGGAGGACCTATGTATTACTTTCAACAATAAAGATTTATATATATAAAAGAAACCCTCCAAGGAAACAGAAACAGAAACTCATAATTCTGGTTGCCGGAAATAGATAATAATGGGAACTGGACAGATCAGCATTGTGGAAGGGAGGGAGACTTTTCACTGAATAA